CAAATACAATATAAAATAGTACATAGTGATATTAATTTAATAATTAAATGATTATAAAAATTCAATAATACTAAATACGTTACAAACAAGTTAGATAAAAAAGTGTATATAATTATGGTATTATGAATTAAATGTTTTAAAACAAATAGACCATAATGATGTTGAAGAATCATGATAAAAATCAAAATTATTTATTTTATTACATAAATTCAACATTCGATTTACCGGAGCGTTTCTACTATAGTTTTGTGTATGAATGGATATATAAAACATTGGATAGGAACGGAGAGATACTTGAGGAACGTTCATCGGTATTAAGTTTAAAATTTCACGGTGTGTTTATCGTGATATTCTATATTACCCTGTGACAATGATTTTTATGAAATTTTTCCTTAATTTTTTTTGAGTTAGAAAAAAATGTTCAATTAATGATGTGTTTTTGTTTATTTATTTATTTTATTTTTGTGTCTGTTACCACTTTTTCTCAGCTCTCATCGAACCGATTTCTTTCAACAATACGTCAAAAGATCAAAAATCGTACCTAGTCGAAGACATTGCCCTTAAAAATTAAAAAATTTTCCTTCGTTCCCCGTAAATGGGGAAAATCTTCAAAAAAATTACAAATCTAAAAATCACTAATTTTTGAAATTTTTAAAATTTTTTTTACTTAAAACTGCCATAATTTTTTCAAAATTTAACAAATCAATATAATTTTTTTTCAATAGATGCCTAATGTTATTACCCATCATTCAATATATTTTTTTATCAATATGACCCTTTACCTGCCCACAGGGAGCGATTAAAAATGACAACTTTTTCACAAAAATTAACTTTTTCAACTTAACTTTTTAAAGTGTTCCTTAAATACTGACACTTTTATGTATACTTTAAATTAAAGGTAATGTAATATACTTTATTATGAAAAAAAAAATGTTCATGGTAAAAAACAAACATCAAAGTCAATAAAAAAAAAATAGTGATTAAAAATATAAAAAAGTGTATATAATTATGGTATTATGAATTAAATGTTTTACAACAAATAGACCATAATGATGTTGAAGAATCATGATAAAAATCAAAATTATTTATTTTATTACATAAATTCAACATTCGATTTACCGGATCGTTTCTACTATAGTTTTGTGTATGAATGAATATATAAAAACGGTAGAACAGTGGGGTCGCGGCACAGTGGTGACGTGGCATAGTTAGATCAAGTATATAATATCTGACAGTGATTAAAATCACTATCATAAGAAACGCTTCGATGCAAATCTGTAGATAGTGTTTCATATAGAGAAATTTGTGGATTATTCCAAAAGCAACATCAACTCTTATTTCTTTAATTATATTCTGATTAGTAGTACTTTGATTTTAAAATATAATATATGAATAAAGACTAATTATAGTTTTCAAATTCAGTATGAAATTGTGAGGCCAGCTATGATGTATAGTTCATAGTGTTGGGCGGTTGATAAGAAAGTAGAGCAGAGAATAAGTGTAGCAGAGATGAGAATGCTTAGTTGGATGAGTGGAGTGACTAGAGAAGATAGGATAAGGAACGAGCATATAAGAGGAAGTATAGGTGTTGCGTCAATCGTGGATAAGATGACAGAAAATAGACTTAGATTGTTTAGTCATGGTATGAGGAAAGAAGAATCGAAAGCTGTAAGAACAGTTATAGAAATGAATGTTGAAGGAAGAAGAGATAGAGGAAGACCAAAAAAGAGATGGAGGGATGCTATTGAATGCGATTTGAGGACAGCTGATGTGAGCGTAGAAGATGTGGGAGATCGTGTCAAGTGGAAGCTTAGGATAAGGGTGGCCGACCCCAAGTAGTTGGGATTAAGGCAAAGAAAAAGAAAAATATTACCAGAAATTCCGGTGGCAATTGACATAATATGATTGTTGTTTCGGAATGTACAATTTAGCGTTTAGTTGGGTTTAAATAATATAGCGTCAAATCAATTACCTACTCTATCGGTTGTATCTTAATATACACTACACTTTAATGATACAATAAATAAATAAACTCACACATACACACATATGCATTTATAACATTGTGTCTAATGTAAGTATAACATGATAAAAAGTAACCGTAAAATGAAAAAAATGGAATATAAATTTTAGTACTCATATTAAATGTAATGTAACTCGAAAAATATTTGTTTAAATGAAAAAATATAAGATAATTTTTTTGTTTATAATTGTCTTTTAAACAACTTTTGTACGAAACTTTTTTTTGTAAGTTAAATATTTTTTGAGAAAATTAAAAAAGCTCATATTTTTGAACTTTTGCGAGGCTGTAAAAAAAAAATCTTAATTTCAATCAATGAAGACTATTAGTATATAAATATACATATTTTAATTCAACTATTAATAACNTGTCATTATACATATTTTAATTCAACTTTTAAAAAAACAAAATTTTTTCCGCAATTTTTCCTTTGTTGACAGGCCTAGATGTCAATTTTAAACTTGTAATTGAGCTAAAAGTTATGGTAATATATTCAATTTTTTTTGCTATAAACTTTCATAAATCTTTATCAAAAATTTTTCATCAATTTTAAAGAACCAAAAAATAGGTTAAAAATGAAAATTTGGACTGATTCATGAGGNATAGGTTAAAATTGAAAATTTGGACTGATTATTTTTAACATATTAAAAATCAAATCAGTAATAATTTGAAAACAATTTTTTTTTCTTTTAATTATTTTTTATATGTAATTAGTAATAATATAAAAAATTAGAATTGATAGATAAAGTCTAATTGCAGATTTGAAAAAAACGCGAAACTTTAATTTAGAAAAGTGTATTTTTGTNGCGAAAATTTGATTTAGAAAAGTATATTTTTGCTTCTGATGAAAGTTCCTTGTAGTCCGTGCATTCATTTATAGTAACAAACAGTTTTTATTGATAATTATTGTATCAAGCCCTTTAAATTTTTATACACGTAAAAGTAAAGCAAAATATAACTTCCTTATTATTTTTATAATTTTTCCGTATAAATTACAATATTAAATTATTAAATATCAATTCCATACTAAATTTAAAAACTATAATTAGTATTTATTCATATATTGTATTTTAAAATCAAAGAACTACTAATCAGGATATAATTAAAGAAATAATAGTTGATGTTGCTTTTGGAATAATCCACCAATTGCCTAATTAAAACAAAGAAAAAAATTGGTTGGGAATTTTTTCTGCTATTCTCCAAAATTACTCCTTCGTTGACTAGAATAAATCATTAAATAGAAAATTTTATGAGAATTAAAACAATGTTAATTTTAAGATTAATATGCAGTCAGGAAATTTTATAATAACTATTTACAGTATATTTATCAGAAAAACTCATTATTTTTTTGCATTTTTATCGTAATAGAACACTTAAATAGAAATCATAATATCATTTCTAAGTAATTTTTGGTATTTAAAAAGATTCTATAATTGAAATATCCAGAACTGAATTAATTTTAATGATTTACTTTAACTAAAAAAGAAAAAAGTTATTATTTTGAATCCCTCTTGTGGGTAGGTAAAGGGTTAGATTTATAAAAAAAACCAAATGATAGATGAAGACATGCATCTAAATAAAAAAAAAATATACTAATTTGGTCATTTTTGATAAAGTTATAACAGTTAACAAAGTTATAAGTTTTATACATTGGATTATAAGGAACTTCCATCAGAAACAAAAATATACTTGTTAGCCAACGGGCTCCTATAATAACGGTTGGCCCGTATGACTGATATGGTAATAATCAACACAGAAAAAAGAAATGAATTAAACAAATGTAAACCCAAATATAATAAAAGAGATTGATATTCGTACAATTCCTATTTGCATATATTATAAAAATAAAAATATGGTATTTTGTTCCGTTTTATAATAAATATAACTAATAAATATCAACAAATATAATGGGCGTCCCCAAGTACAAATGTAGCTACAACTAATAGACTTAACTATAAATAAATTTACATACAATATTATAACAGGATTTAACTCGTTCTATTTACTGATTTGAATGTCTTCCATGTGGTAGCTTCAACTTTGACAATAACAGTCTAACAATAACGGAATAAACCGGTGTTCAAGCTTTCACCAATAACTCCAAACTTAATAAGACCACAACTCTTAAACAAGTCTTTCACGGCTATATACAATAGGCCGGATAACATCAATATGGTAACAAAGAACAAAAAAACACGAGTACGTCGATTACGTAAACGGGTGTTATAATACCATATAGCGCACAGACATATTAACAAATGTCCACCGTAGCTAATCAACCGACAGACTGATTGACCGTGAAACATATTTGGCTCGGTATTGTCAAAGGCCGCCGTATACTTTCACGGTCAAATATTATCACCACTACCTCCGTGTTCAACCGGTACACGTTATCAATGCCGACTGATACAGAGAAGATAACATGTGCTGTTTTGAACATGCTCCCCCTTGGGAGATCCAAATCTTCCAAATGTTGAATGATGATGAATAGAAGTTGAAGACCAAAATCTAGCTGTACATATTACATAATACACATAAATCACCAAACTTTACAATATTAGAAGAAAAACAACAAAAGCCAAAAAAAAAATAAAAAAACATAATAAACATGGTATACAAAAAAAAAAATAATAACAATACTAATAGTAAACATCAACCTCCAATAAAGTTTTTTTTTTTTTTTTTAAAGACTAGAAATGAGTATATATATATATATATTTTTTTTCCGATCTTTGAACATAACATTGAAGATCCCCCCATTAGCACTTAACCTTCCATTAAAATCAATCACTGGGACAACTCGTTATATAATAGGATTTAGTTCATTGATTGTGAGTGAACTAAGCACAAATATCTTGTTAATAACTTACAATAAGATATTAATGAATAAATAAACAGGTAACTACAAGAACAAAGAATAATTTTTCATGAAATAATTATTTAAAAATTCATATTATATATTTTAAACACTAAAAGAAAACTAAATTTCAGTTGGTAACTTAACTAACTTAACTATTGGCCGCGTGAGCTCTCCATGTGTGGTTCTCACACGGGCAACACGTACTACCCCATCAGATCCTGGGAACGTTTGTATAATTCTCGCCATAGACCATCTTATGGGACGGTTTTGAGAATCCTTAATCACCACCAAATCGTTTACCATTAAATTTGGTGCCTCCTTTGTCCATTTTGTACGAGTTTGCAAGGTTTGTAAATACTCAAGATGCCAACGGCGCCAAAACGACTGAACACATTGATTGAGGAGCTTCCATCGGTTAATAATTTTCCGTGAAGTAACTGGTATCGTCTCTTCGGGAACAGCCAACAATGGCTGCCCAATCAGGAAATGTCCGGGAGTTAGACAATCCAGCTCTGATGGATCAGAAGAGGAAGGCGTCAATGGTCGAGAATTTAAAATTCCCTCGATGCGACACAACATAGTTGAAAATTCTTCTAGAGTGAAGTTTTGCTCCCCCATGATACGAACCATCAACATCTTTGCAGAACGTACTGCTGCCTCCCATAATCCTACAAAATGTGGTGCGCTAGGAAGATTAAAGTGCCAATGACTATGAGCACCAGCACTAATGATGTCTCTATTTTCTGGTCTATTTATTATCTCATAAAGTTGTCTTTGCGCACCAATAAAATTCGTGATGCAGTCGGTAAATATGTCATTCGGTAAGCCTCGACGGGCAACGAACCTACTTAATGCCGCTAAAAAAGCATCTGTAGACAATTCTGAGACGAATTCTAAATGTATTGCTTTAACCGTAAAACATACGAATACTGCGATATACACTTTGTAATGACGCGATTTACGTAATCGTTGTTCACGCATGAGAAATGGGCCGGCGAAATCAATTCCAACCCGAGAGAATGGCCGACATTCTGATACTCGAGATCGTGGCAAGTCCGACATCAATGGCTGTGAATTTATTCCAGATAACCGTACACACTTAGTACACTTACTAACTACATGGCGAATGAGAGATCGTATAGAAGGAATCCAAAATTTACGACCAATTATTGATGTTAATACACGTGGACCACTGTGTCCAGTAAGCTCATGCCAGTGTCGTACAAATAATAAAGCCATATGTGAAGACTTTGGCACCAATATGGGATGCTTTTGATTTTCTGACAAATCAGAATGCACCAATCTACCACCGACCCGAATCAAACCAGCAGTGTCTATGAAGGGTCTTAAGCAAGCAATAGGTCGACAAGATACGGGTAAGTTATGTTTCAGTTCATGTAAAAGTGTGCCAAGGGAAGACGCCTGAGCTGCCAATGCGATCACATTAGCTGCCTGATCTAACTCTGTACGAGTTAAAAAATCCGTGGATTTGATTTGCTTACGATGACATAGCAAAACACGCTGTAGCCTTGCGACGACACGAATCATACGCCAATACGAGGAAAACCGATCAAACCATTCTTCTTTAACTTCAACTGATAATGTTGTAACAGGTATTGGTTTGACATCAGGCAATTGATCAATTGACAGAAGTGGTATTTTACTATCCGACTCAAGTGGTAGTCCTGATAATAAATCTGGACCATGCCAATACAGCTCATGATTCATCAATTCCAAAGGTGTCATCCCACGTGATGCGCAATCCGCCGGGTTGTCCGCGGAGGGAATATAAGACCAATGCGCGTCCGGTATTAGCGAATGAATTTTAAAGATTCTATTAGAAACAAATATTTTAAACTTCTCCTGACACATGGATAACCAACTGAGAACAATCGTAGAATCCGACCAAGCCCACATGCCCATGATATTTAATTCTTGAGACAATATGCTATGGATGCGAGCCATCCATCGGGCTAATAAAACTGCAGCACACAGCTCTAACCTAGGGATCGTTTCGGACTTCATCGGGGCTAATTTTGTTTTCGTTCCAATCATAGAGATTGAGGGTGGTCCTGAAGCGTTTTCAATTCTTAAATAAACCATGGCGGCACATCCACGCTCCGATGCATCGCAAAAACCACACAAAATGCCTTTTATCCGATGACGTGTATGTATGAAACGCGGTATTGTCAAATTCTGCAAGGAAGGCAACTCCGAAATAAATGAACACCACAAGTCGAGGATTTCAGTTGGTAATTGGTCATCCCAATCTAATTGGGCTTTCCACACACGTTGCATCAACTGTTTTGCAAGAAACACCACCGGAGAAATCAAACATAATGGGTTAAAAATTCTGGCAATTAGGGAAAGCATGCCACGCTTTGTGGTTACTAGTGAATTAGGTTCATATGAATAATATAAAAAATCATCTCGATGATTCCAACGCAAACCCAACACCTTCACACCATCCTTACCCTCATCATCGAACGACAAGGAGCCGCATGCCCGATTTTCAGGCACTACTGCCTCCAATATATCCTGTAAATTACTGGACCACTTTTTCAAATCCATTCCCGACTTGTTAAGAACTGAAATTAAATCCTTTTGTAATTGCCTCACACCAATTACTGAATCTGCTCCAAAACATATATCATCGACATAGGTATGATATTGTAGCGCTTGTCGAACTAATGGAAAATCTGCACAATCATGGTCAGCTATATATTTTAATGTACGTAAGGCAAGATATGGAGCACAGTTGACTCCATACGTAACTGTGTTGAGTTCAAATTCTTGGATGGCATCCGAGGGTGTAGCTCGCCACAAAATATGTTGAAAACGCCTATGTTCAGGATTGATTTCGATCTGTCGGTACATCTTGCAAATATCAGCCGTAAATGCGTACCGGTAAAGGCNCAAATATCAGCCGTGAATGCGTACCGGTAAAGGTGAAACAACAATAATACGTCGACAACATCACGCTGGAGTTTAGGTCCGGACAACAAACAACAATTAAGAGATAACCCATTGTATGCTTTCGCAGACGCATCAAACACAACTCGAAATTTTGGATTCACATCCGAGGGACGGTATATCGCATGGTGTGGTATAAAGTAATAACCCGGTGATGGCGCTATATTCATGTGACCAAGTGAAATGTACTCTTCCATAAAGTTACAATACAATTCTCGCATCCANTTCCATAGAGTTACAATACAATTCTCGCATCCGATGATCAGACTCCAGTTTCCTTTCCAAATGGTGAAAGCGTTTTAATGCAACCTCTCGTGATCCAATAAAAGTATTGTCAACAATCTCATGCTTCAATGGTAAAGAAACAGACAAACGACCGGAGGCGGATCGAGTACAACCATTTAAGAACACGCTCTCACACTTGCCTTCATCAGTGAAGTCCGCTGGAGCGGCGTCTGGCTCTTCTAGCGTCCAAAATCTTTCCATCATAATATCTAGTGAAGTTACCAACGACACTGGGCATGAATGAGGTGGATGTTGTTCAGACGTGGGTACAGAACCAATCAATATCCAACCAAATATGGAGCTGAATGCAACAGGACAAGAATCATCAACAGAAAAACGCTTACCGTTGAGAATGAACGCAAAAGCATCAGCACCTAACAGCAAGTCAACTGGTGCAGGAGAATTAAATTGTGGATCAGCCAATGCTAAACTACTATATTTATTCGCAATCATATTAGATATCTTAGAACGAGGCATATTAGCTGTAATAGTAGGAAAGACCCAGGCCGTAATCAGCAACACCGGCGACGTCGCAAATCGTGGCCTTATTTCACAGTTAACCAAACCTTGGACATTTTGAACAGCTGCCCCAGCCAATCCTGCCACCGGAGCAGTCCATTTAGTTTGATATAGTCCTAACCGTTTCACACAAGATGATGTCATGGCACATATTTGCGATGCCGAATCTATTAGCGTCCTCACTGTATGGAGCGTACCCGCAATATCTGATACATGCACGAGGGCTGTACCCAACAATACGGAAAAGGAATTGGACTGACCAACAAGAGATGATGTAGATGGCATGTCAGTAACACCGACAGGTATATCTATGTCACTTTGAGGTTGTATTGTGTCCTTGTGTAATAAGATATGATGATGGCGAGAACATTTACTGCATGACGATTTACCATTACATTTTTGAGCCCAATGACCTCCACGGAGGCATCTATAGCAAATAAAATTCTTTCTCACCCACTTTAAACGCGTCTCCACTGCCCAGCTTTTGAACTGTTCACATGATGTCAGAGCATGAAAACCTTGACAGCACTTGCATAAAGGCGATGTTTGTTGAGTTCCTGCAGTGAGAAATGTCGAGGGTTGCGATCTTTTCCATCGACTATGATGATTGAATTTATTATCTGAGTTTGAATGGTGTTTATCGGGTTTTCCCTTGATTGAAGAAGTTGATGGTGTAGCTACTGCATCTGGACCACGTACTAACTGCAATATTGAAATGCGCCTCTTGATAAAAGACATAAGACTAGATACTGTAGGGAACACATCTAATGCCTGCTCTTCAAACATGGAGCGACATGAAGCAGGTAAACATCTAGAAGCCATTGTAAATAAAATAAAGTCACCTAAATCTGAAATGTTCATTGATTTGAGGACAGCAACGTTATCATCGAACAAAGCAAGGATCTTGATTAAGTCAGGCAATGATTCATGATTTGATAGTGGTGCTTTAATCAGTTTCTCAACTAAAGAACTAGCTACTAACCGAGGCCGATCGTATAAAGCTTCCAGAGTTGACCATACCAACTTGTAATTGTCCCCCGCTGAAGTTATTCCACGAACAGCTTCCAAAGCTTGCTCATTGAGACAACCAAACAAATAATACATTTTATCTATGTTAGATAAATTTGAACGTTGATCAACCATAGATATAAAACGATCTCGAAAAAATGACCAACTGTAAATATCACCGCTAAAATTAGGTAGCGGTATCTTCGGGAGCCGTGTGCCTTCAATATGGCTTGCTGACTGAGGGGATACTACATGATCCACAGTAGCACTGAATTCGACAGGAGTAATTTGCGCCTTCTCAATGGACGGACCAAGTGGATTAATAACTGACGGCATCCTATCACTGGTAATTATTGGTTCTATTGGCTCCTCTGTTGCTGAGACCATTGACTGATCCGCCTCGTAATCTCGAAGTCTATTGGCTGTTGCCTTGACAAACGCGACCAGTCCCTCAAGCTGAATATTTAACGCATCGGAATAATCTGATAATTCATCAAGATCGATTAATACATTCACATACGCATCATCTTCAACTAAAAAAGCCTTCCACAATTGATCGATGCCATCAGACAAGACTAAAAATTGACCCGCCATATTAAGGTCCACGATAGCTCCTTGGGCAGCAGTATGCATAGCCTGGATTCGGTTTGCATAACCAGCGCGCTTCACCTATGCCCGATCCCGTAATCGAGTTGCTGCTGTGGATGCCATGAAGACGTGTTAAATAACACAAATATCGCTCACAATTAATAAATAAAACAAATTTTTTTTTTTTTTGAAACAATATGTAATTGTAAAGGACCAATTTAATTAGACAATAACAAAAGAAAATGCCGATCAACGAATGAAATTAATCCAAGAAACAAATTACTAAAAGTTAATTCAATAAACGACTAGCTAATAAGAATTTTTTTTTTTTTTTCAACAAAGAAAGTGTCGCTGACCACAATATAATGGATTGAGAAAAAATTATAATTATTTTCCTTCTGCGTATCTCTAGGTGCTAATAACTTGGCTAATATTCAAGGAAAATACTAGTATCACTGATAATTATATATAAAAACAAAACAAAATATGTAATTAAAACCAACTATACAAATGTATAAACACTCAACGCACACGCGCGATCATCTTATACTTATCAATAATTTATACTTAAGTATACAAAACCAAATTAAAAAAAACAACAAACATTTTTTTTTTTTACTATTACTATTTACCAATTGTACTCATATGCTACATATAAAGATCTGAGCGGGCCCATACAGGCTCAGACAAAAACGTTAACCGCGCTCTGCGACCAAATGTTAGCCAACGGGCTCCTATAATAACGGTTGGCCCGTATAACTGATATGGTAATAATTAACACAGAAAAAAGAAATGAATTAAACAAATGTATACCCAAATATAATAAAAGAGATTGATATTCGTACAATTCCTATTTGCATATATTATAAAAATAAAAATATGGTATTTTGTTCGGTTTTATAATAAATATAACTAATAAATATCAACAAATATAATGGGCGTCCCCAAGTACAAATGTAGCTACAACTAATAGACTTAACTATAAATAAATTTACATACAATATTATAACAGGATTTAACTCGTTCTATTTACTGATTTGAATGTCTTCCATGTGGTAGCTTCAACTTTGACAATAACAGTCTAACAATAACGGAATAAACCGGTGTTCAAGCTTTCACCAATAACTCCAAACTTAATAAGACCACAACTCTTAAACAAGTCTTTCACGGCTATATACAATAGGCCGGATAACAACAATATGGTAACAAAGAACAAAAAAACACGAGTACGTCGATTACGTAAACGGGTGTTATAATACCATATAGCGCACAGACACATTAACAAATGTCCACCGTAGCTAATCAACCGACAGACTGATTGACCGTGAAACATATTTGGCTCGGTATTGTCAAAGGCCGCCGTATACTTTCACGGTCAAATATTATCACCACTACCTCCGTGTTCAACCGGTACACGTTATCAATGCCGACTGATACAGAGAAGATAACATGTGCTGTTTTGAACANTATACACTGGACTACAAGGAACTTCCATCAGAAACAAAAATATACTATTCTAAATCAACTTTTCGCGATGTTTTAAAATGTGCAATTAGACTTTTTCTATAACTTCTAAGTTTTAATATTATTAAAAAATAGTATTTACATATGAAAAAAAATAATTAAGAACAAAAAAAATTGTTTTAAATTAATACTGAGTTTAATTAATAATAAGTTAAAAATAAGGAAAATGACATATTTAACCTATTTTTTTAATCGTTTAAAGTTGATAAATTATTGTTGTAAATGTTTATAATAAAAAAAAAATAATTTATTTTACCATAACTTTTAGCTCAATTGGTAAGTTTGACATTGACATCTATAAATAGAAAATTTTATGACAATTAAAAGAATTGTATCGTTAAGATCAATATGCAGTCAGAAAGTTTTATAATTACAATTTATTGTAAATTTATCAGAAAAGCTCAATATTTTTTTGCATTTTTATGGTAATAGATAACTTAAATAGGAGTAATAGTGTTAATTTCCTAGTAACTTTTGTTGTTTGAAAAAATTCTACAATTGAAATATTGAGAACTTAATTAATTTTAGTGATTTACTTTAACTAAATGAACCAATCAAAACATAGTTGTTAAAAAGATCTACTCANAATCAAAACAAAGTTGTTAAAAAGATCTACTCAATAGCGTACTATAAAATTTGATTATAATTGTAAAAATCCATTATTAATTCAGGAGAAACTAGCAATCATTTTTTTTAGAAATTATTTATATAGCAACATGTTACCAAAAAATTTTGAATATTATAGTCTAGTAGTAGCGCACACAAATAGAGTAAAAAAATTATTAAATTACAAAGTAAAATGATTTAATTTTGTAGTTGAAACCTATCATATCAAACTTCATTCGTCAATAAATACTTTGAAAACATTAGAAATTAATGATTTTAATTGTCTTTATGGAGAACATGGAATAACTAACTGTTTAATTGATAAATTCAAATTTTTTTAAAATTTTTGAGGGTAATATTTTCAACTAGATACGAATTGTAATAATTTGACATATCTTTGAAAAAAGTAGGTCAAGTTAGAGCAGAGAAAATTAATGATTGTCACAAAAAAATATCTTCTCAGCTTTGCAACGAAGCTAAAACTTAAAATATAGTAAAATAATTTTAATACGAATAAGAAATTTCTTTTCGCTAGTGATGATTACAGTGATGGGATCCTTGATCTTTATTGAAGTTATTGAATCTAAATGAGATAAAAATCAAACGAGTTAAAAATTTATACTAACTTAAAAAGAATTAAGAAAAAATGCAAAAAATTCATTG